CAGCCAAAACTGCATTTCTTATTTATGATTTGCCAGAATCTATCCAAATCTGTTAGGAGAAGAAGCAAATTCTACTTAAAGGCATGTAACAACAGCTCATTTAGACAATTAATAACAGATTTAGAATTAAAAAGTATAATCTCAGTTTGTTTCATAAAGCATTATCACAGCAGTGAGTTTTTCATTAGTTTGAAAGTAGGGTATTCCCAAATGCTTACTTTTTTTAAAAGGATATAATATTATTGGTAACAAAATTACACACTGTTAAAAAGAATACTGAAAATGCTGAAGAAAGATGTAAGAAGGCAACAATCAAAACTCTGGTGTGCATCCTGCTTTCGGATGCTTTGACAATACTATTGCACTGCTAGCTGTAAAGTACAGTAGTGCAATAAAGTCAGAGCATTCGTTAGCAGGAATCAGTGAGGGGAAAAGAAAAAGCATCTGGCATCAGTTGAGGCTTCAGTGAGAAAAGAATTTAAAGTAGGGTGGCCATTTTAGACAGAAGACAACTAAAACCTAAGAATATTTAGATTAATAGTGTTTTTAAATGCTAAAATTTTATATCTCAATGTTTTTGTAAAAAAAAGAATTAAGACTTAAACACCAATCTGATACCATGTTTTGATAGCTTGTCTGTTATTATTCAAATACTTGTAGAGGTACAGAAAGAAATTTTGTTAGTATGTCCTAAGATTAATACTTTAGCACTGATGTGAGCAAAATATGTTCTGACTATACTAAAGCTGTGAAAAATATTTCCATTCTACTGAGATATGTGTTGTGGTGGTTTTTTTTGAGATATGTTTTGATTTTTGTTTCCTTTAATATTCCTACCCAAAGAGCAGCTGATTTTACATGGCAATTGATTGATTGAGTGTCATATCATCAATAATATCTTCGCCCTCTGGGTACAAATATCTACAGAAACAATGAAAAAGGTAAAATAATTTTTCATTTTGTATTCACCCAGCTTCTCTCTCAAGAATCTAAACTACACTATAAAAAGCACTCATTATTTCTGGCTTTCTATTTAGGAATTAGACTGCTGACCCAAAGTCAAGCAGTTTAAATCCATCAGCTGCTCCTCTCAAGAAAGATGAGCAATCGTCCAAGCGATTTATAACCTCTGAAAACCCTCTGAAGGGTCAGCTATGAGTGGGTTCAAATTCAACAGCACATAACAACAACCACAACAATTTTAACAAGGGAAGAGACTTCTTGTGACTCAGTATGCCCTAAATAGAATGTTGGCCTTACCTAGTACCATGAAGTGGATTGTAAAATTTCATTTAACTTTAAAAAACATTTTAAATATTGGAAGACATGTTCTGTATTTCCTTCAAACTTAGAAAATAATCAAGAGGCAAGTATTATGGTTACAATTAATATTCAAACCTTTATTTATTTAAGTATGCTAACCTTTAAGAATCCATTCAAAAGTCAGATGTAAACCCAGAAATAAAAGCAGTATCACAGGCCTTTGTGTACAATATCTAGTGGTACTACAAAAGATAAGCATGGACAAATACCATTTAATAAGCAAAAGGGGGCAGGAAAGTTAGAGAACAAAGATTACCTTCAAAAACCAAAAACAATGCACACCCATGTTTATTGCAGCTTTGTTCACAATAGCAAGGAGTTGGAAACAACCTAAGTGCCCATCAACAAACGAATGG